GTACATACAGATTGTTTAAAGATTCTTTATCAGTAGAACCCTATGTCAGTTTATTGATGAACAGATGTCAGCGCAGTATATTAAGTAAGTTTCGCTGCGGCTCACTGCCATAAGAAATAGAATTGGGAAGATTCACCCGCCCCAAATCACCGCTTATTGAACATATGTGTGTGTAAATTCTGGAATTGCAAGGCTGTTGAGGATGAAATACACTTTTTTGCTGAATGTTCTCTCTATACAGATTTACGCTATGATTTATGGAATTTAGCTTCTCAATCAAATCCAAACTTTATACAGATGTCCGCTGCCGATCAGACGTGTTCTTTATGCGGAACAATAGGGTGGTCAGACCCCTAGCCGCGCTTCTTCATCACATGTATCAGCGAAGACAACTGTGTCTTTCGTCTCTACCAGCCTAGTTCCATGTATCTTAGTATCAGAATGTTCTGATAACTGGTGATAACTCATTTTTATGTATATGTATGTACTGTGATATTTCTCATTTTTACTCATATGTATGTGACGTCCTGCGTGTCTCGTAGGCCATAATGGCCGGACACTGTGCACACTATTTGTGTATTTTTATTGTCATTGTTGTACAGTGTGTGACATGTAAATAAAATAATTTTCTTCTTCTCTTCTTCTTCCATATACATTTTTGTAGATATGAAACTTTCTAGTTAATTGTGGATACACTGGGCACACAATCATACATAACAAAACCCCATGACCGATGAATTGGTGCCTTGATATACAACAAGAAAGAATCTTGTTTATTTCCAGGCCATCCTGATCATCGTTTACTCCTACAACATGTATTGTAAGAGGCAAGATGAAAGGCACCGCCCAGCATTTATTAGACAGCAAACATGGTTGTAAGTTTCGCTTTGAACCACCATAGCCGTCTCTTAATATTTATGCTTGACCCTGAGGTCAAACTCCAAAACGAGGCTATCCCCGCAAGCTGTCAAACTATGACATCATGGCCGCCGAACATTGCTGTGTGCCTCAGTGCATGTCGGATGCACGTTACGACAAATCGGTCAGTTTCCACAGCTTCCCTCAGGATGCCTATTTGCGGAAACTTTGGATAGTGGCTATTCGACGCGACGAAGGACCGTTTTTTAAGGTAGGTAAACTTTTTCATTCAGCTTTTTCCGTTTGAATCACTTGTAACTGTCACCTGTCAAACAGTCGTGTTGAGCATGATGCTGCTTGCATGCCATTGTCATATAGTCCTCATATAGTCAACACGTAGTAATGAAAGTAAATTACAATCAGAGGCAGGTATGATACTAATGAAGCGAAAAAAATGGGCTTCAGGTAACAAAGAAAACAACTGTCTGCTCCAACCATTTTCTGAATGAGAACTACAAGTACACGCCAGTCAGGAGAACCTTGAAGCAAAGGATCGTGCCATCTGTGTTTCCCTGGAGCTCTGCAAAAAAAACAAGGAAAGGTCCACCATCAAGACAACCCCTCCAACCCATAGTAAGAATGAGAAAACAGAGGTAATGGTTTATTAATGTCAAGTGATTGAATCAGACACAAGTCTATACATAAAACATGTCAAATACCATGTTTGAACATCAATGTGAAGTGTTTGCGTTTGATTTGGGGGGTCAAAGTAAGCAGGATTTTATGTAATTCTCAGTAAGTTATTTTAATGAAATAAACTAGCAACATCATAAGCTTAAACCTAACAGATCAGTTCATTTTCCCTTTGTTATACACTGGCCAGAGACCATAAAATAGAGGGATGGCCCTCCCCTACATTTTATCATAAACCATCAGCGCTATTTCATGGTCTCTGACACTGGCAGACAAGGTTTTATAAAACTTTTTGAGAATTGAATACAACTGTATCATTACGGTAATCTCAGTTTGACAATGTCTATGTTTCAGTTTGGAGAACTTGCAACAACAGCCTGCCTTTGTGAAGCCTGATGCTGGGACACAGACTGACCTCTGCCTTCCTGACATCCAACAGCTCCTGTTGCGGATCCAGCAGCTTCAGCAGGAGAAAGCTGATCTCAGCAGGCAGCTTACTGTTGAGAGATTTGGTGTTGAACGTTTCTCCCATGATGATGCCATCATGCAATATTACACCTCCTTCAGAGATTATCACCCTTTCAAAATATTTTTCGACTTTGTCAAACCCAGTGCTTTTAACATGTGCAGCAAATATTATGTATGTTCAGATGATATCGCTCTTGCAGGAAGACCACGCAGTATGCTTCTCATTGATGAACTTTTCAAGTTTTTTGTACGACTAAGACTTGGCACACCCGAGCAAGACCTGGCAGTTAGGTTCAATTGCCATATTTCAACTATCAGCAGGAAAGTTATCACCTGGGCCAATTTCTTGTACTTTGTTTTAGGATCAATACCGATCTGGCCTTCTAGAGTGCAGGTGGATCGTCACATGCCCCAGGATTTCCCGTTCACATACCCATCCACAAGAGTTATTTTAGACTGCACAGAAATCAGGCTTCAAATTCCATCCGCCTTAGTGGTAAATTCCATGTTCTACTCCCACTACAAAAGCAACTGCACTCTAAAAGGTCTGATTGGTATTGCCCAACATGGAGCTGTAACATTTGTTTCATGTCTCTTCACAGGTGTGATGTCTGGTGTAGAAATCACTAAACTTTCAGGGATCCTAGATCTTGTAGAACCAGGAGACAGTGTCATGGCTGATAAGGACTTTACTATTGCAAGTATTCTCAGTGAGAAGGGTGATGGTTTAAATATTCCTCCCTTCCTGCATAACTGTGGTCAGTTTCCCCTGAAGAAGTTGCAGAGACCCAGAAAATTGCATCTCTCAGGATTTATGTGGAGAGACTTATCAGACGAGTTAAACAAAACCACCTGTTTGACTCCACAATCTCTATTGCTGAACTGGGCAGCATTAACCAGTTGTGGACTGTTACCTGTATAACATCAGGTTTTCAGGGACCTTTGATTAAGAGTTTTTAAGTGACGAGTAGCTATAGCAACCGATTTAGATGATTCTTTTGCCAAATGTCCATGCTGCCTAGATTTAGTTCATGTAGCTGCTGAATATGGTAATGTTTATTCCCCCTTTATTTACAGAAAGTCGAAGATCATTTGTGATCAATGTGATAATCACATAATTGCTGCTATTAAGCTCCTGCTGTCTGTCATGATGCTACATGAAACCAAATGCTATACAGTGTTTTGACTGTTTGACAAAGCATAAATCTGAAACTGGGCCAAGTGTTACGTGTCGATTCCCAAATTGAAACAGTATGTTAACCCAGAAATCTTAGTCTGAAACCAATAAAACAACCAACAGGTGGTATACAATCAACAAATGTATTACAAAATTCACTAAATTTGCAAATCAATACAAAGTACTTCACAAGTGCATACAACAGACATTATCGAAGGCTCTGTCCAGGAGGTTAAAGTTTCGTACAATTATTGTCCCCCTGTGTGACACGTAATCCTATCAGAATCGATGTAACTATCATCAACCAGTGTTTTAAAGCCAACTCATTGCTGAGTATTTTATAAAATTGGCAAGCATTGTGCACAACCACCAGTAGCTGAAGTGGTAGCCGAGGCACTGTAAGTCCCCATGATCCCCAGCAAGGTGGCCTATAGCCTGTGTTTTAAAACTGTATACATGAGATTGTTATGCCCAAATATGTTCCATAAATTGTTTTTGAATGTAACTTTGTATTCATGAACAAACTGTGTACATATCAACTTGGTCTCATAGCTATATAGCTAAAATAATGCTGATGTGACATTAAATTTTAACTCACTCACTCGCATACAGATTGTCCATTTAATGTCCATTTAATGATACTCACCGATAGTTATTTAGTTTTGCACCCCAAAAATATATGTTGTAGAGAAGTGCATTTTTGTCATGTTGATATTAATAACTAATGTCTGTAAAAGTTGACATCTGAAGTTAAACTTGATATTCAATTGGATATCAAAAAAAAAATTCAACTCTAAAACAGTGCATCCAGTGGATGAATGGAAGTGATTGCCAACACTTATATGAGTGTTTGTTTTTGTACATACATTTAGTGCATCTTTGCTCATTGAAAATTCATTCTTGTTGAAACTGGTTGCAAAGACAAGCTGTGTTATTTATTAAATATTCTTGTTGGTATATTAATAATAGGGCTGGCTATAGATATTGATCTGAGTGATTGATAATCATTAACTAAATATCAATCAATTATCGATAAATATCGGAGAAGTAACTTTGAGCAAGTATGCTAAAAGCCCAAGAGACAAAACAACATATTTCATGTCACTGTTGAGTGGTGACACATTTATGCATTACTTTGTGGACATGTCAGATATAACAAAATTAGTTGCTTTCCGTCTTTTGCAATGGACATAACAAGTCTGCTTCTGTAAATTAAAACTTTACTCATAACAATAGATTATATAAGTAATTATCGATGACATAATTTTCATTTCAATAATCGTTACAAATTTTTCACATCAACGATAGTTCTGATTATCAATCTTTTTTAGCCATCCCTAGTTAACGATGTTACATGACATTATGAATGGTCATTACAATTGTTTTTCAAGCTGTGATGTCAAATACTTGTAAAACAAGTGACAAATGGTTGTCTTCTGGCCAGTATTAAAACAATACCTATCACACTTAATAAGTTTCTGATTTATTATTCTGTAGTTACTAGTACCTGATGGACTGAGATAATGACATATTTTTACAAGATAATTTTAAATTGGATATAATCAAAGTAGAACTTATCAGCTTTGTCTTTAGTTTGCTGCCAGCTATCTCTGCAGAAGTATATTCTCTCTAAATGAGTGGCTTTTGATGACCATACAAACAAATCACACCACACCAGGCCAGTCATGGCTAGCTGCATCTGTATTTGGTGGTAGTAGTTGTTATTTTTCTTTAAGCAAAGGTAACCATTGACCATGTTCAGGTACTGTAGATCTTGGATGTCCTTGTTACTAAGGTGAGGGCACTTGATTTCCAGGAGGCCAAATGGTGGAATGGTGCTTGGGTCAAGCACCTTCCTGTCTGGTGAGGCAGCCATCCAGGAACACTTGGGGTTGATGACAATACCAGACGGATAAATATTTATCTTATCATCCTTCACCTGAAAGTCAATTTTAGATATTTTACCTATCTAATGTGTGCCTAAAGAATAACTTGTGATTGTCAAAAGGGAGATAACTGTTTCAAAAACCACAAAAATGAAAACCATCAAGTTGAGTGATAGAATGTAATATACTTATGTACCAATTAGGTCAAATTAAGAAAATATCTCACTCTGCTGTATGCTGCAACAGCAACTGGCTCATTAGCAAGGCCTTCCCTCATGGCCTCAGTCATGACACTTTCGTCGAGGTCCTCAACTTTTGGGCATAGTTTTCAGGATCTGAATACAAATAAAAAGTATATCAGTTTCAAAATGCAAATCAATCAATATTTATTATAATAACTACATATAAGCTATCTGATTTGTGTGCTAATATTCTCATACACATTCTGGCCATAATTTTTAAATTTTAATTGTTTACCTTTTTTTCGCTTTGATATTTCTCCAACTTTGGATGCAGTTACTCTGTGGGTCCTCAATCTCTTCCACTTCTTATCTGCAGCCTGCAGCCTGGTAGCCTTCTCTATCTCCACAGCCTCCTCCTTGCTGCTCAAGAGTGAGTCAAGCAGGGTAGTTTGAGACTCATTAGTGACATAGCTGTAGTGATTGTCCCCAGTATTGTCACTGTTGACAGGAAGGTCTGGGGAAAAGACATCAACAATATTCCACATGGTGAAAGTTTCTGTTGATGACTGATTGAGCTGCCCTTGTGAAACAAGCCAAACTTTGTTGTCACAAGAGGTGGATAGGATTCACCAGTAGTGGGTACAGTGGTGAGCAGAGATGAGTCAGGATGAGACACAGTCAACTTGTCAAACAGAAGCTCAAATGGAGGAAGTGGTGAACGGATTGGGTTGTACAGGGTAGATTTCACCGGTTTATGCTGCTCATCACTGTCTCTCTTGTAGCCAACAACTTCTACCTCCTGAACTGACATTCCACGAATCTTGTCTCCCCTTGGTATGTGCCATGTCTGTGGCAAAGATGTCTTGGCAACATCTTGGGGGATGGACCTCACTCCACACAGCTTGTTATGAGCCACAAGATACAAAGTTCCTGTGATGTGTCCACAGCACTGACTCAGGCCAATTGCACATGAGCAGCTAGCAGAGCTGACACTCACCGGCTCAGAGTGGAGAATAATCTGCATATAGAGAGAAATCAACCAAATATAGGATGTTGTACTTGTCTGCAACATAGCATGGTGTGGTGATAGTACTGAAATAATTCAGTGGTAGTAATGGTTTTACAAATAGATGAAGCCTTGTAGTGTTATTTCCATTGACATCATTAATTGTAATGCTTGGAATTATTTTCAGTAGCTGAAAATTCCAATCAATCCAATATACTGGCTGGTTCCAAAATTGTAATATGGTCATAAAAACGATAAATAATAGTCTTTTCACATGTTCACCCTAGCTGCTATCTACCTACACCCCTGTTAATAACGTTGGGCAACATGGTTACAGGGATACACACGGGCAAATTTGAGATTCATTCGTACCTGAATATTATGTTGGGATTCGTTTTTCCGCTGTGAGCGATAGCACCTTGCTGTCAAGCGGCAACAGTTGTCATCACAAGAAGCTGCAAAATGGAAATACAAATGTATGTTTTATATTTCTAGATCTATAGGTATTTAGTATTCACGCAAATAATAGATTAAGAATGTTCCTGTATACGTTACCTGGTACGGTTTGCATAATTTTGTTTCAATCATCAACTCGGGAAATAGATGTAAACTTCGTCATGCATGCAAGGGAACGCTGTCAGCCGTCCGAACTGCGCACTGTGACTGTGAGTGAGTGAGTGAGTGAGTTTGGTTTAACGCCGCTTTTAACAGTATTCCAGTTATATCACGGCGTGTCAGCTTAATGTGGGAGGAAAGCCCGAAGTGATGCAGGTCTCAGACGTTTACCGCTTCGGTGAAACCCACGAGCACGGGTATGGTGCTGACAAACCTAGAAACATAATTTCGGGGCGAACCGGGATTCGAACCCACAATCATAGGTTTCTGGCGTGCCTAAGGGACACAACTCTGCACAGCGAATCGCGGCGTCTTAGACGACTGGGCCACCCGTACCCCCCACTGTGACTGTGTGACCTTTGAGAGGCACTCTGGCCTGAAGTTATATTCTGTACTCGGTACTCATTTCCAATTTGTATAATGACTTTGAATTTATGCATATGTTCCAACTTACAATTGACTACAATAATATTTAATACACATCTTTGAGTTCATGTAAATATATCAGCACTTGCGAGCACATGAATATGACAAGGTATCTCTATTTGCCTTTTTACTATTTATTCATTATGTGATATCAATAATTCATTTATGGATACCAAAGAATGAATTTATATCACAAATAAAGCAAATCGGTTTTTAGATATCAATAACTGAATTTATTATCAGATACCATAGAAAGTTCACTATGTCTTTTGAAATTATCATTTGGTGTTCTTACTAGAAGATATTCCCTAACATTTAAAACTTGCACGTATGTACTAATCAAGTGGTTTAATCATACTGGTGTTTACATACACATAAATAGGTGTTTTGATGGTTATTTTTCTTATTATTTTGTACTAAATATAGTCAGCCATTTGGTAACTTGCGATCTTAATATGCACATATAATGTTAAAATATGGCGTCCTACAAAATTGACAGTTCCTTGGCTGCTGGAATAAGAAAAGATGATGGTACAATGTAAGAAAAAAGCTTACAATGTTTTACTTGGAAACTTGTATACATGTTTTAATGTACATACGATGTCTCATAAGCCTGTAAAGGCTGGGTGCAATACCGATGATAATTGATTTTTTGTTTTTAAGCAGTATGTATATGTTATTTGCACATGACATCTTAATAAAATATTCTCCAGGAGCTCCGGCGGGGGGCAAACTCGTCTTGTTATCGTGTGGTGTGAGCTGTGACGTAGACCCAAGAGAATAATGTAAAAATGAGACCAACTCAAGTCTATAATGATTGGGAAAGTCTAGATTTCCACAGCTCTTGCTTGAAATTAAGAACTGTTCTGTGCTCCTTTTTAATTGTATTATTTTCATTTTGTAGACATGGATAGACCAACCAAGAAAGAAATTGATGTAATATTAATATCACATGTCACCAATGATCTTACTTTCATGGATAGAATTGAGGCAATCTAGGCTTGCCAAATCGTTCTAGACTTGAGCTGGATTCCTTTTAAATTTATTTTCTATGGTCTGGGAGACGTACGAGGGCGTCAGTATCGCATGGAGAACTGGGTCAGTGTAATCGGATATGTTGTGGAGTTTCGGGTTTGGGCTGTTTGCTGAATAGAGCAAGGGCACAATGTGGAGATGAAATCATTACCACCTCTGTTTATATCAGATATGTTATTGTGATTTGAAATCTCTTTTGAACAATTGCGAGTTATTGTATACCCTGTATTCTTTCGTCATGGTAGAATATATATTTTCTATGTTGCTTTTTCAATTATCCACAAATAATGAGAACTACAATGTAAACCTCTCTCTGGAGATATACAAAATACAACTGAAGAGCATATCTGAAAAATGGGACTAATCGACTAATATTTCTTTCTTAGATACTGTCCGTTACAGGAATTCTAATCATTATATTATACTTTGTATAGTTTAAAAGTCAAATAATGGCAAATTGTGTATCTTTCTATATTTTGAATTCATTATAATTTCTGCAATGAAACCTTAAAATCAGATAGTGATATAAACGAATATGATCTGTACTGTGATAAATGAATTATTAATTTCGTATTATTTATTAGATAAACTGAAATATGATAGTAAAAACAAATTATTTTAATCTGTTCGTGTGAGTCAGTAACGAGAGATCTAGGCAACTCACTAACGTAACCATTTGTGAAAAATCAAGTATTCAAAGTTTAGGGGTTTTAACATGTACATGGAATGACAGACAAGAAAACAACGCAATAATTAAATTATGAATCAAATTACTTTAAATATATAGAAAATATCAGTTTAATTTCTCATTGTTGGAAGGTGTTGAATAATAGTTTTTGTTTGATTGTTTGTTGTCAAACGCCGCACTTAGCAATACACCAGCTATATGACGGTGGTTCGTAAATAATCTAGTCTGGGCCAGACAATCCAGTTATTATCATCAAGAGCATCGATCTACGCAATTGAGCCTGACCACCCGATTATGTTAGTCGCCTCGTACAAGCATGGGTTGTTGAAGGCATATTCTAACCCGGATCTTCACGGGTATTTTCTTTAATAATAAGGTACAATGAAATTCTGTATATGTCCAGAATAATGGTGTATAAGTAGATGGGTATTAATATGTCCATACACGCCAATTAAATGGGTTAGATTGCATATGGGTCAATGATGAGTTCTTTTACAAGTCCCTATTTCAAGACATGTATTTGGTATTCATAATAACTCCACAAAAGCCACACAATGGCTACAAAACGGTACCAGCATCACAGATACCAATAATACATTTTTGAGCATGAGATACATATAATTACTTTAAAGTTAAAACATGTATCTAAATAGAAAATAAGAAGGATTAAAAATATACACTTCGACATTTTTCGTAGTTTTATTTTCGTTTGGAGAGAGAAATACATTCGTGACCAACTCGTGTTATTCCGGGACAAGCCGAATAGCGACTCGTGCCCCTCTCGTGGCCATTTTTGCGACCGGGTTCCGTCTTAGCGCAAATGGGCACACCTAAAATAATTGTCAACTCGTTGCGAAATAGTTCACACATTTTCCAAAGATTTCCCACATTATTTCAGATGCAGTTTAAAGCACATCGGGACGTGTGGAATTATACAGTATGATTGAACACATTTAACTGTGTCTTTGGTATATTTTTAGATGCAAGACATATGTAAATTCAAAAATTATTTCTGAGGGATTCTTTGACGAAGAACTTGAAATCATACGCGCATTCTGATTGGTTTGTCGTATTTTCGCACATAACATTCATCGATAGGGGGCATTCGTCAGCACTCGCCCCTTTCCGTAACCTGCAAGAAGACTCGTCCCCCTCTCGATGAATGTTATGTGCGAAAATACGACAAACCAATCAGAGTGCGCGTATGATTTCAAGTACTTCGTCAAAGAATCCCTCAGAAATAATTTTTGATTTTACATATGTCTTGCATCTAAAAATATACCAAAGACACAGTTAAATGTGTTCAATCATATTGTATAATTCCGCACGTCCCGATGTGCTTTAAAAGGCATCTGAAATATATATAATATATGGGGAAATATATGTGAACCATTACGCAACGAATTGACAATTGTTTTAGTTATGCCCGTTTGCGCTAAGACGTAACCCGGTCGCAAAAATGGCCACGAGAGGGGCACGAGTCGCTATTCGGCTTGTCCCGGAATAACACGAGTTGGTCACGAATGCGATAGGGGGACGAGTCTTCTTGCAGGTTACGGAAAGGGGCGAGTGGTGACGAATGAGAGAAATAGTGACTGGTATCTGATGGGTGCAAACAGGTTTTCCCTTCCGCCCAGGCCTTACGGCAATGCTATAGCCCCAAATGAAACAAGCCTAGATGTTCAATAG